GACAAAACCCTCTGATGCAGAGAACATGACTAGTATTTTTGCTTCTGTCTGTGCCAAGGACCATTTCACTACTAGTCTAAGGAAACCAGAATTTGCTGTTGTTGCTGCCGTTGTTCTCAGTACACAGAGTCCATCTTTTCTAATCCCTGACTGGGGTGTAGTATTTCAGAGCTTTCTCGCGATCACAAGTATAGATACTTTAACACTAAATGAGATACAAGACTTGTCAAATTCACAATTTGTATTCAAAATTGTGTCATTCTGATTATCATGTTGTGTTTCTCTATATCCTTGTAGATAAGGACTAGATCTTGCCAAAGAATTCATTGCAACTAAAAAAACTGCAAGAAACCAGTGCAATGAAATCATGAAGACTTAGAGAGGGCACAATATGCCATTTCTGTGAAACTGCATGTCACAGAATTAGAAGCTTCTGTTTCTACTCTGGTTTTGTACACTAATAGGCATTTCTAAGCAAGACAGAACAGAATTTTACAGTTATTGTTCGTGTAATTTGATTTTTATCTCATTTTGATCATTGATATGTTCTTGATATTTCAGTTTAACTGCTCAGTTTCATTTCTGATCCCTAACTGGATACACCGAGGCTCCAACTACAAAAATTAGTGTAGCAGACACATTAAGATAATGATAATGACCATAAGGTAGTTTTTAGAGACATTTCACAAAATCACCATGAGAATCCATGCCCATGTCTGATGCTGACTGCAACAGGCAAGCTTCAGATAATATTTCTAATGTTATGTCTGTTTGTTAATTGTGAAAAGGCAGGCTTCCAAAATGTCTATCCAAAGGTATCAAAGATATATCTAGAATAAGATATATTTTGTCTTTTTATGGTCATGTTGAATTTCAAGTCCGGGAAAAGTTCACTATTTGAAATTTTTCATGCAAAAGCCTTCCTTCTTCTATGTGTACTTCAGAAGTTTTTTCCTCCTTGTACATGGTTTCTATTACATACAATTGGTTGTGTCATTAACATTTTCAAATTAAACAACCCAAAGAAAAACATCATGCTTTGAATGCCCTTATAAAATCTCAGTAAAATTACTCTAAATAGCTGGACAAGAGTTTGTTTATTCCTTTTGGTGGTATACTCCAGGCTATGGATGAGAGCAATGTATGTTGAAGTAGTGCTAATTTAATGCAGTTGTCTAGTCATAGTACCAATGCAGGAAATTTCTGAATTACCTTATCTGTTTAGAGAGGCAGAAAATACAGTAGAATAGTCTATTTTATGCCATTTCCTTTAAAATCGAGAAAACAACAGTTCAAGGATTGACAGATCTAATGAAAGTTTCTAACCACTGTCTTTGTACATGATCATGGCAAAAGTTGTTTTTATTCTAACAAATAAAATTCAAATTCAAATAAAATTTCTAACAAGAAAGAATATGGGAAGTAGATTGAAAATAAACCATAAAATTCAGTATTTGTTCATTGATACAGAATTCAGTAACTCTGAATCACGTAACTTTTATTATCATGACAGATGTTTAGTAGTTTTTTATTTGGGTAACATTGTAAATTGAAAAAGTGCTTCCAAATTAATTAAAACCAGCCCTCTGCTAACAATCTGACAGTGTAATTCGGATTGGTGGTAGAGAAGCAGCAGGTGGTTAAAGAAAAATTACAGAATGGATCCCAGGAAATTTCCTTGCAGGAAATGTGTTTTGAAGTAAAGAGGAATTTTAACCCAATCCAGCAGTTAAGCATCATATAGCTGTTTACTCACTCCCTCAGCAATGGGATCAGGGAGAGAAGCACAAGGGTAAAAGCAAGAGAATGTATGCATTGAGATAAAAACAATTTAATAGGGAAAGCTAAAGCTGCACACACTAGCAATTAATAATTAATAATTAATAATTAAAACAATAAAAAATAGGGAATTAATTCAGTATTTCCCAGGTGTTCAATCTCCAGGAAGCAGGGCTCCATTGTGTAAAAATGACTTGGGAAGACAAATGCCATCACTTAGAACATTTTCACTTTCCTTCTCCCCCTCCCCAGCTCTTAGTACTGGGCATGACATGCTATGATCTAGTCAGTTGGGGTCACCTGTGTCCCAACTGTGTCCCTCCCTACTTCTTGTCCACCCCCAGCCTTCTCACTCAGGGAGTGATGTGAAGAGAAAATAAGGCTTAGGCTCTGGTAAGCATTTCTAAGCAATAATGAAAACATCCCTGTTTTATCCAATCTGTTTGTCACAAATCCTAAACAGCCCCATACTAGCCACTGTGAAGAGAGTTAACTCTGTCCCAGCCATAACCAGTCCAAGGGGACAGGAAAGAGTGCAAGTGAGGCCAAGTAGTGGCTAGCATATTAGATGCTGTTGTACGTGGAGTGGCATATCTCTACCATATACCGTATACTGTATACCGTATACCATATACCATACACCATATACCATAAATGATATGAAGAGCAATTGCACTCCAAGATTTAAAGTTCTTTATTAAAGACACATCAGACTGCTTGAAGAGGAAAATGCCCATTCTGATTTATCTGGAGAAAATCAGACACAAATATGAGGGAAAGTCTAATTTGTGATTAAATTACAGGAATGTTAGATCAGATGTCTAATTAAACAAAACTGGGGTTTCAGTGGTAAAAGACTGTACTGGAACAGAAAAAAAAGGCTAGAAACAGTGCAGTAATTAAAAACCACAAAAATAAATAATTGAATAGAAGACAAACGAGTAGGGAGTAGAGGTGAAAAAAATCAGATGCTCTTTAAATAGAACATGGGAAGTTGTTTTTTATTGTAATGATAATAACTGAGCCCTTCATCTGCTGTTGAACTACTTGGATGCTTCTTTGCTGCCTTTACGTTTTGTATCTATATGTTAATATATGCTGTGCACTAAAGTTACAAGTGCGCCCACAGATTGTTTTACACTTCGTTAATCAATTTGACCTCATGTGTCTCATGAGAGAATCATCAGTGCACACAGTAAGGCAAGAGATGTCTTTCATGGTTGTCTCCATGCATGTAATAAAGGATCCTTCAGTCACCATCACAAAAGCAAATATTCAAGTAAGGCAAGTGAGGCCAATGGACTCATTAAGGGTGATCTCTGGCAGAGGTCCAAAGAGCTTGCAAAGAATTGGGGATTAAAATACCCATATGCTTGCTCAGCCTGTGTTGTTTGGCTGGCATAAAAGCAAAATAACGAGCTCATCCCCTAGGAAGAGAAGACAAGACATTAAGCAAAGCAGCCAAGGGTCATTTGGCATTTCAAAAATGGAGATAAAGGCACAGTGTAATGGTCCAGTAAATCTGACTGGAGGCTAGAGCCAGGAATCCTGATTGCCCATTGTAGCTGACTCTTGAGTTTACCCTGTGGCTAAAGGCTGGTGGTTCCACCTTCCTGTCTCTTTGTCTTCACATCAGAAAATTTGGAAAATGGTATTAAAATTTTTTGCAGGTATTTTCTGATATTTAATTTAGTAACATTTTGAAAAAGACAAATGTACCTGGAAACATTAAATTTGTTTAACCATCTTGTTTGTACATTAGAAATCCTCGTGTGTACAAGCATTACATTCAGACATCAAGTTTACACTGTAATTAATTTCATAAAGCCAGCAGCATGAGCATTTGCAAGCAATACAGAGAACAAAAGCTACACATTCCTTGGAACTGGTCCCTGAAATCCTTTGTGTGGGGATGGATAGACAGAGAGAGACAGATATTTGTGGATGCAATTGAAAGACCCCGCAAGAAACCTTATATTAAGCATAATAATAAAACCTTGCTCTAGTAATAACAAATGACCACTCTTAAATCCTCTGATTTGGGCGGTAAACTGGAGAAAAAGGAGGAGGTGGAAAATTATGGTTTAATAGAAATCACTTTGCACATAGGATTGCTAATGGTTCTTCAGTGTGCTAAGTGGAGGAGACTAAAGTGGAGTGCACCCCTCCTAATCTATTTACATCTTACAAGTTGTAGAGTGACAAGACATGGGACTGAAGTGGGGACATGAGGTGGTGGGGCACGGATTGAGATGGAGCATACCTTACAGTTGCTGTTGTTATGATACAGATTTCTTCCTAAATTTCTTTTTTTATCCTCCCACCCTTTGCTTTTACCCTTCCCTGTACACCCTCTTTTTTCTCTTTTTGCTTGTTGCTCTGTCTGAGCCTGGTGGAGCTGCAGGAAACCAGTACTGATGAGAGAGGTCCATTGAACTAATTTCACAGGGGAGGGCTGTGCTTGTGGATTAGAGAGTGGCTAATGGGGCATTACAAATACCTGAGGGTCATGTCTCATTGCCATGGTGAGCCAGATTTCTTCACATGAACTGGGTGCATTTGTGTCTAGGAAGAGGCTTTCAGCTTCAATGTACACTAAACTCTTTCTCCATCATACTGGACTTGGTTGCTCTGAAAGCTGTACTCCAGGCTGCTGTCAATCAATGCTATCTACAATCCAACCTCCTAAGATTCAAGCTTTTCAGGGTAGTGTTTTCATTACAGGTTCTTAACTGCAGCTCATCTCCTGCTGATTCTGCACAAAACCTGCCAAAAGCCTTCTTTTGTAGATAGAAATGAGTCTTGATTAGTTTCCAAACATTCTGTCAAGAAATTGTACACAGCATGTAAGCTTTGAAGAGCAAGGTAGTTTTTTTCCATGACCATTTCAGTACAGGCATTTGTCTACTTTCATTCACATATGGTTTGGTTTTTTGAAAAAAAAATTTCAAATATTTCAAATTTAGTACAGCTGAATGCTTCCCTTAGCATGAAGAGTTATCAGAAAGAAATAAGTGCAACTAGCAGCTTTTATACAATTTGCTTCTCTTTTAATTATTTTCTGTCTAATAAAGGTGTTGATGTTGTATAGTTCCTATTCAAATCAATATATTCATGTGTGATTTTAAATAATAATGTCAATGTAGTATGATAGTATCTCAATCTCTCAATGCTCAGTAATCTCCAATATACAACATCTTTATCTCCTCTTCTCTCTCCAGCACTGCAGTGACAACACCCACCATTGCCAATCAGATATGAATATAGTAGGTGCTTGGAAGAGAGGTTACACTGGAAAGAATGTTGTGGTCACCATCCTGGATGACGGCATTGAAAGAAACCACCCAGACTTGATGCAGAATTATGTGAGTGTCCACAAGAGTCCAGATTTTCTGCTTTCTTAGTACTCAAAAATAATTTGCTGCTTCTAGAAAGATGGAGAAAGAGAGGAGGGAAAGAGGAAGAATCATCCAAGTGTTTCCTCTAACTTTAATATCAATGGGGGGAAGGAAAACAGTTTTTGATTATGTGTATTGTTTTAGTTAAGACTGTGTTTCATCTGAACATATTAAATATCTGGATGCCTCTTGTAGCTGAGTCCTGAATTTCTGAAGGACTGGAACCAATATACTGGATATTTTTTGTCTCTTCTGCAATTTTTTTTATTTAATATCTTCACGCTCTCAAAACTTAGAAATGGAATACACTGCTTTTCAGTTAGCATAGGCAGCTGAATTCCATATTTGGCCAATAACATTTAGTCAATGAGACAGAAGCTTTTCTCAAAGACAGTAATTTTACAGTAATCCTTCCATGCATTAATTTTTAAAGCTATTTATCATACTGCTAGAAACAATATGAGAGGAAAAGTATATGACCTTTCATGATTCACTCAGTCAAAAACAGGTGTAGAATATTCTATTGTAGAATATCCTTTTTAGTAACATCTTTTAACTACTGAGGCCCCTCTCAACTTCTAATAGAGCTGCTTCCATTGTTTTCTATGTTCTGTGCCTCACACTGCCTCAGGAGGTTTCTGTTTGCTTGTGGTTGACCACATTTAGATGACTGATTTCATCCGTCTTGGAGGCCGATAACACAAGGGCAATCTTCTTCTCTAGTCGGTTGCTTCCTGTGTTGGTGTCAGAGTTCAGAGGATCAGGACCACATTTTGCTGGAGTGATTTGTCCTATCTTTTGGAAGTAGGCATTAGCTGAAGGCATGTAACTGTGAGGAACTTACAATTTGTCTGAAATAAAGTGTGCAAGGTGTATTTCTACAGAGAGTAATAAAAGAAGCAAATATCTTTGGATTGAGCTGGACTGGTGAAGATGACCAGTGCAAGGCATGCATGTACCTTCATTCCCATTACAAATGTAGGTCTTTTTAAAGAGCCCAAAACACAAAAGCTTGGTTTTTTGTCAGCAAATTTATCTTCCTGATAGAGCATTAAGAGATCGTGACAAAGACATCTTTAACAACCCATTAAAAACTACAATTGTGTCGACAATTTATAGCCACTTACTTTAAATTAGCCATATTTACATATATATTCTTCCTTATGCCAGTGTGGAACTCATCTTGGAGGATGTGAAAACACAAGTGGGGAGCAATTGCCCTGTTTGTCAATGTATGTTTGACCCTAGAACATGACACATATTTCATTTTAATATCTTGAATTAATTAAATAAAACACATATAATTTTACTTCCCCAGTGAATGACCCAGATTGTATCATGTCACCTCATTCCAGTACTGACCTACCACTGAATTTAAAGCAACTATTTATATCCTTACCACTCCTCTCTCCCTTTCCTCACGCCAACCAGGAATTCCCCAAATTCACAAGCAATATATATTTCTGGTTTGATCACAAATGCCTTTTATATCTTAAATTATAGGTGATGGGGCTGCAAATAGGAATATTTGAGGTGGATATGTAACTGGTTTTGAACAAACAAGAATTTATATATTGCTGCTTGCCGTGTCAACATACCACATGCTACTGCATCAATTAATGAGAGCCATACAAACCAGCAGCTGTTCACTCTATGAACTATTTTCAGCTGTAAGAACCATGATAAATATGGAACAAAAAGACAGGTATCTTGCAGATATTTGAAACAGTTATACTCTCAAGGAAATGGGGAAGTGGTTTGTGTTGCTTTCCAAGATGTAATTTTATAACAATATTCTTAAGAAAATTTTATTATTCTTATTTCTTGAAACAAGGCTGAAATTTCAGTTATAGTCATGCAGATGAATTTTTGAATCTTAAAACATTCAGCAAAATCCCATTTTTGAGAATGAATTCTCTTAACTTCTGAAAGATTTTTACAAGAGAAGTAGTCTTCTGGTTAAATGAAGCACCATTTTCTATTTCCTCCCTAATGCTAGACCTATACTTTTTCAGAGCGTTTTTTCTCTGTCCTTCACTGTTTCCCAAAATTAAAATAAAATATATAATTCCTATATATAATGCTTTCCTAAAAGACAGTCACTATAAAATCACAGGAATATTAGTTAGCCTAATTACTTACTTGTAAGAAACTATTAACAAATGTATAGGCCACATGAGTCAATGGTAATTTAGCAAATGGTTTTCTTTCTTTTGTTGGATACAGGATTCGCAGGCCAGTTTTGATGTAAATGGAAATGATTTTGACCCTATGCCTCGATATGATGCTAGCAACGAGAACAAGTAAGGCATTATGACACCCTTGACATTTTCAATCTGAGCCATCAGGTAGAAAGTACCAATTTGTCTATGAAGCTCTACAAAACTTGATTCCTCATAAAACAGAATGATCTGCGTTAAAATCTTTGTGAAATACATATTTTTGTCTTTTCCGTGCACACATATGACTCTTGGAAAGCATATGAAACTATCTGAAAACTAAAAATTAATCTAAGAGTTCTGGATATGTGAAATGAACCATTTTCAATCCCTTTGGGAGGCAGAATATATGTGATTACTTGCTTTTCTTAAATATAAATTTCATTGAATTATTAGGGGGTTATTATGTGTTGCAAGTGCCCTAGTTTCTAACTCTCTTGAACTTTGTAGAATTTTTTTAATTGAAGTAGGCAGGTTCATGAAGGTTGTTGCTTTTTTTGGGCCTCTAACAACATCTTTTAAAGTGATGGAGATTTTTCATTTGGAGTTTGATAGAATACAGAAGTGGGAATTCTGGCAGGTTATATCTGTGTCACATGACTAGTTGGAGATATCTCAATGTATTACGTATTTCCCCTTCAGGGTTCTGCGTTCTGATATTTCTGATTCCAGCTCTGCTCTTTGGATATGCCCTGGCTGGGGCAAATTAGGGAGGCCACCTTACCTCAGGAAGTGGGCCACCTTTCTGCTCGGTGGATATTTGAGGGCAGTTTGTTGGTAACATTTTCTTAGCTAGGTACTTGGCAGGAAGAAACATCTTTCTGTTGAATTGCATCATTTGAAGGAAGGAGAATCCTTCAATACTTGTCAATACTTGTCAATATGTTTACTGTGCATTTTGTTTTCTTGAAGTTTGGTTTGTTGTTTTGTTTTTTATTTAATTGTGAAAAGCATTTAATACTCTCTGCCCCCAGAAAAGAAACTACAAAGGTTAAAACCTTGTATTACACAGCTAAAATGCTTTGGGAGTTGTGTTGTTTCTTTCTTACAAACAAATTTTGTCCAGAAGAATGCAGCAGGTGAAAGCTGGGAGTCAGCTGCAAAACTTAATATTGATTTAACTGCAGAAATAAGTTGGAGCAACTTTGGATCACACTTTGATGGGAGAATCCTCTCCTGGTCAAAACATTTTTCGTAAAGGCAGGGAAGGGTGTTACATCATAATAGGAGAGGTGGAAGAACAGGGCCTCATTACTTGCCCTCTGCAAATACTCTTCAGCTGAGCTGCAAGTTTGCATCACAACACATCCCTCTCTTCTGCTGTTCACCACACTCCTATCCCTATGCGCACTTCAAGGACACATCCTGGCTCATCTGTGTGAAGATGTTCCTGTTCTTGGACTTGGGGCATAACAAGGGTACAGTTGGAGACTTCCAAATTTCAGTGCACTTTCAAGGACTTCTGGGTGCAGCAAAAAGCCACGTACCTGTGAAATCAATTTTTTTTCTTTGGCTGAGTACTGAAGTTGCTTTCTTACAAAGCATGTCCAGAAAAGGGAGTCTGTGTTCTGTTTTATTAGTAGTTAAAGTTTTATATAGGGTAGAAATTTGGACTGCTGCTTTTATCTCCTAGAGCCTAAGGGATTTTAGTTTTCATACCCTGCCTCCCCCTTAAGTGTTTTCACTGCCCAGCCTCCAAGATTCTGCAGTGAAATGTGGTGATAGGAGGGCAGAAGCTGTGCTGTACTAAGTTTCGTCAGTGTTATCAGGACGTATAGTGTCAGTGTAGAGTCAGATTTTGGACACCAAGGATACATGAAGCATGTTTTCAGTATAAGATTACTTGGCAGTGTGACTTAAGAGGCACAATGTTTCCAATTTGCAGATACAGAAAGCATGATAATTAGCAGCTAACCACCTTCAGGTTTTGCAGCTTTTGCCCTTTTTACCTAGTTGCCCCTAGACTAAACTAGAATCAAACTACTACACGGGTACTGAAAAGCACTACTAATAGCATGTCCATATTTTTTGTATCTAAAATACCTTCAGAAACTGGGGCAGGAATTCAGATTGTCCAGCATACATGGCCATTTGGCACTAGATACTCAAGTTGTGTCAGGAAGTCAAGCTAAACACAGGAGAACATTCTGAGAGCCATGCATTGCAAAGACTTCATACTGTGTACTTCAGTTTGGTTGATTCCTGCTTCCTGTGGTGGACAGACAAAATTGTGTAATAGTGATTTTGTGTTTTTCAGTGGGGGTGGAATGTACAAATGCGCTGTCATTTTCAAGATGATCTAGTTTATTTTTCCTCATTTTATAATCCAACTTTAAGGGATAGAATGATAAAGAGCAAAAGGAATTGCTATAAAAATAAACAGGTGTCTGGGCAGCTCTGCATGCAGCTGTGAAACATCAGAGTATTGGATCTGCGCGCTAGCTTTTCACTTTTAATTAGAGTGAAGACTTTCTGTTGCTGAGGCTTGTTGGTAGGCAAAAAGGAGTAAGAAAAAATTAGCTGTAGATTACTTTCATGTGAGCACCAGAGTGGCACTTTCCAAAATTATATTTCGGAAATTTTATGTTAAATCTTCTATTAGCTAAGGGAGAGCAGGAGGGTAGGAAGAAATATTAGACTAATCTTTCAAGGCTTGTAGTCAAAATGGGTGGGATGATAGTTTCTTTAACTACTATGGTATGTAGGCGTACTGCCAAAAGTTTACTTTGGTTTCTACAAATTGCCAGCAAATTGTGAAGCTTCTAAATGGTGCAGACTTATACTAGAGTTTCCTTTTGCTCAGAGGCAGTCAGCTGTGGATGAAGTAATTTCTGCTATGCAAGGCATCTTGTTTTGGTTTACTGGTTTATTCTTTTTCTGTTTTTCCACTGCTATTTTTTAACATGTATGTTTATAAACTAGGCATTATCAGTCACAGGTCCATAACAGAATGCAAATGGCATCACTGAACTGGTACTATGCTTATTGTATAGCCTCAGGAATAAAACAGAAATATTCATAGAATTTTTTGATTTTGATCAAACAAAAATTACTTCTTCTGTTTCGTAAGAAGTTTCTTAGGGATGATATTTCAAAGCTTAGCTTTTACTATGGTGATGGGTTCTTTTATAAAACAGATGGACTTTTAAAAAAACTCTGTTAAATAATACCAGTTGACTTAAATGCAGTTCTTATTAAACTTACATAAGAAAAAGTAAAAGTGAGCTGTTACTTCTGTTTTGGAGATACTGAGTCACTTTTTGGATGCCTCTTCAACATTTTTCAATGATGCATCCCACTACATAAATAATTTATTTCAATAACCTCCTAAATTGCTTTTTAATGAGTGTAAGATTTTTGAGAGACAACAATTCTTGTCATTCAAAAGTTATTAGAAACAGAATCTCTTCTGTCTAAACTTTGCAATATGGAGAGAATTTCTCACCATTTCTCACAAACAAAAAATTAGTGAATTGGTGATTTTCAGTCCTGTTTAATCCAACACACTGGCATTGTTTTGCCATGGCATCCATTATGATTCATTATTGCTTTCCTTTGCCATCCACTTTAATGTAGATGCGCAATAAAACACCAAAGTTTAAATTTTCTTCGCAGAGTGACAAACTGCTAGTTTATACTCTCTGCTTATGGTGAAGGCCTGTAGTACATCCCGTCATTTAATCATATTGTATACAAGATACTTGACAGGTAGATCAGCTTCTCTTTCCTCCTGGATAGTCAATAGAAGAAAATTGAAAAGCTTTATTGCCTGCTATGACTCCGTTCAGTGCAAATACCTGAAGAACTGAGCACAGCAAATGCAGAGAGACTGAAGTCTCTCACTGGTGGCTTGAAAGATCATCTCAAAAGGTTCCCACAGCAGCAGTGTGACACAAAGGAATGCTGACAACTGGGAGATTCTTTCTATGCAGTTTGAGCACTGGTATGCACCTGTTGCTATTGATTTTAGATTTGCTCTCTTGCGTGCTGCGGACAGAACAGAAGGGAAGATAAACTGTACAGAGAAGCACTGCTGCACCATCTTTCAGTGGAGTAAGGTATCAGCTCTTAGGTAAAGGGTTTTTTTTCAGAGGGAATCTCGATTGTGTTTGCTGTTCTTCTATACCCTGACCTTTTAATATGACGTTCTCCAACCTCTGGAGGCTTAAAAAACAAAGCATAAAATGATGTTGCCAACCGGCAGAGCGTGGTCTGTGTGATGCTAGAAAAGCATCTCTGATAGCACAGAAATACTCCTTAAGAGAGAGGTAATTTAGGCTAGAGAATTCACTTAATATGTATATGTGTTTCAAGTCAATAGAATTAAACACTAACACTGACTGTGGTATTGTTGATTCCAGGTACCAGTGACGGTGTAAGGTGTTTAGTGTACCTAAGTGTCACTGCAAATTTCATGGTCTTCAGTTAGGATTCCTAGGAAACTGGAGATATTGGATTATTTTCTCTAACTGGTGACATGTTCATTTGTGAAAACCAGGATCTGAACCAAGCAGTCAGAGGTCATTGGTGTAGAAGTTTCCAGTCAATGACTGCAATCCTAATTTATTGTATTTTGTAGTTGTATTCTGATTCTAAAGTCATTGCTGTTATAGCACATCGTAGTGTGCTGCAATTTTAGCAGATGTTAGTAGTGAAGTAAGTTCAGTCTGTTTCAGCTTACAGACTGAGATGCCATTTTTTACGAGGAGCATTGTTAGTGATTCATAGCTAATCTCCAAGTTACAGTCTAGTGACCTGTCATAGTTTAGAAATGGTATTCCCCAGTTTACTGTTCCCACTAAATACTAAAGACCCTTGTGTCGCTCCTTTCACTTCCTCCAGCTCTCTTACAGCAGGACTGGAGAGGAGAATTGGAGACACGGAAGGTGAAGATCATTGACTGAGATAAGAACAGTTTACTGGGAACAGCAATGAAATAAGAAGTAATAACAGAGTGTGCAGGATAGGTGAACAATCCACACATGATTGCTCCCCGCAGAACCCAGCACCTGACCTCACAGTCCTACAAACCAGCAGTCCCACAAACAACACCCCTCTAAACAGCACTCCTCTCCCTTTCCTGG